AAGGATGCTTATTTTACCTGAACAAAAGTCAGGGCTGCATATCAAATAGGAAGGAAGATGCACGTGCCTCCATCCCCAGTCTGGTGTTGGAAACCTGCAGCCGGCACTAGCTAAAGCTCTTTGAGGGTGGCACCAAGGCAGGAGAGGGCGCGTGGAGACCCCCTCAACCTGGGCACTTGGGCAATTCACAGCCCTACGCGGTGTCTGGGGAGCAGGAACTTGTAAAGGGGGGTGTTGGTGCGCGTCTCGGTGGTACAGAGCGGGAGGGTCGTTGGGGCGTGACCCCCACCCGCAGGGGGGCTGCCTTCTGCTGAGGGGGCAGGAGGAGGGTGGCTGTGGGGGGGGCTGCCCCGCTCTCAGAGAGCGGGTTTGGCACCGAGCCCCAGCCTGGCCTGGAAGGGCCCGGCCTGGTCTGGGCTTGGTGACGCCCCCACCGCTGCCTTCAGGGTGCTTTTTTTTTGGGGCGGAGGTATAGTGATGGGCAGCGTTGTTCACATGGGTTTTTTCTTGGTGGAAGGCTCAGAGCAAGGAAACATCACTTCCTCGGGGTGTTTCTGAAGGTAATACAAAGCCTGACACGCAATATAAACTGAGCAGGGCCACTCTGATCTGTATTCGGCTCTGCGTGCAGTCCTCTTCGGGCAAGCGGGAAGAGTTTCCCCACCAATGTTTCCCAATGTGTGTTCAGGCTGGTCTCTGGACCGATGCTACTCTGAAACCGGTTCTCTAAGGGGCTGTTCAGTGCCTCGTAGCTGTGTTAACTGCCCTCCCGTGTGGGCACGGCTCCGACTCTGTGGGCAGATTTCCGCCTGCTAAGGTTGTCTAATCGCCTGCTATAAATTGAAACTTGTATTGCTCCTTTTGGTAAATGCAAAACTGAATTCTTTTTTTTACTACACAGCTTGTTTAGCTTCCAGATGGTAAACCAACATGAAGTAATGGAAGTGCAACATAGTTTTGTTATAATGGATATGTAAACGTGATATTTATTCACTGCAATAGACTGCTGTGAACCATATTCCAGCAGTAACCTTTTAAATCCATCACTTGGCTGCACATAAGTGTGGTCTAAAAGGGAGTTGTAAGGAATTTGTTTTTTTCTGGAAGATTTTTTTAATCATTGAAAAGAAAGGGGAATGTTTTCCATCTTTTGCCTTAATGTGTGGACTGGGAAATGTCAGAAAAAAATCTGCTGAGATCTGTGTTTTGGGATTTGGGGTTTTTCCACGCTAATGCTATTCTAAGTGCTCTCTGAGCATTTTGAAAATGTCTCTGATAAGAAAACTTACTAGGAATTTCCAAAAACTCAGTTGATTCAGCTGTATTTAGGAGCAACGTCATGTACTTGGAAGTGCTCTTGCTCCTCTGTGTCTTGATGGCAGGGGTGAGCCATGGTTGGGTCCTCAGCCGTTCCCACCATTCTGGGATTCC